GAAAAAAGCGAGCGCAACTGCGACGGCGTAGTACAAAAATCGTTATCTCTATACGCGTATCCATCACGTTACGATTTTTTTTTCTCGATGCGATCACCGACACAAGCGTAGCTACGATCGTGTGGGGGCGGGTGGGTGCACGCACGCATACACACGCGATTGGTATCCATTGGCGATTGGTCCCCTTAACATATCGGCTAAGCGACCTACTGCACGTGTCCCGATTCCCCTCTCAAGGTGAATGACGAGCAATGAGTTATCGGACTTCGAGCTCAGGCATTTCTTCGCTCTGTTAGACGCTTTTGCCGCATTACCTGCGCGCGTGCGCGCGCGACTTCTAATCCGCGACACATTTGTGCCCGTATATTATTCATCGACCGCTCGAACACACAGTCGTATGGCAAAGCAAATTGAGAAATCATGGCGAAAAATCGGAAAATCGACGAAAGAGCGGCGATATTTTTTTCCTCGCGTTTTCTTCCATTAATATCTATTATTATCGGTTACGATCATACCGTTTCATAGTCGATATCAAACGTTTTAGTTATATGTTTCATAACTCGAATTTGTCTATAATAAATAGGAATTGTATTTCATTTAAATTCATAAAGCTAACATTCCAATTTTCTTCATGAATCTTAAAGAGATTTAGGACTAGGAAAAGTAAAGAAATCCTTTTAAAAGATATATAAATAAAATGTCATACACGCAAATCTTCTGTAAGATTTCTTTCAAGCTTTTAATTAGTATTGTTTTCTACGAAACTTCACAAGATAAATTATAGTTTTTATATGGTAATTAAAATTTTTTAAAAACTGTCGAGGAGCATAGATCACATATTGTAATTTCTATTGAAGGTAGTATTTAATTGAATCGGGGTATGCGGGTCATATTCACGACTTGTTTGTGTACGAGCTAATTATTCTCGGCGACGTCAAATCAACGATGTTAAGGCTATTGATAAACGTCTTATACTGTATGCGGCGTTCACCTGTCCGTTCCTTAGTACGTAATCATGTGATAATGTCTATCAATATAAATCTAACGAAATGTCAAATTTTTATGTAGCAATTAAAAAAGTAAAAACAAATTAATATAAACATAAAGGCAATTGATATTTTAATTGTTAAAAAAAATGAAAATGTCGAAACAATAGCTTGTCAGTCAACATCAAATAATAAAAGTAGAATCTTAATAAAAAATTACACGAAACACTTTTAATAAAATCTAATCAATCCGATTAATTAGTAAATTAATTAGTGTTCATAGACATATTAAAATATATGCAATTTTAAAATATTTTTCCAGCGAAAACTCGGAATTTCTTTAATTTGAAAATTTATATTATACTATTGGTACATTTACAGCGTAATATCATCGACGTCTTTTATTGTGATGGCACGCGATATTCTTCGAATATTGTAGTTGTTTTTTTTCATGATTCTCTACAATAGGCACCATTATTTGGCATGATTAAGAAGTCGCGATGAGAAGGAAAGCGATGTACCGTGTATAAATATATAAATGTTGAGACAAGGTAGCCGCGGAGATGATAGCTGAACGACAGCATGACGACACCCGCCATTTCTCTCGGATAGTATGCAGATCTATTTTTGAGTGGTGGTTAAAATAGCTGAGCTTAAACTTCTGCTAGACACTGTCGGAGTTACCACGTCGGAAAGGAATTAGGTCAGACTTGAACGACAAAATAAGTATCAGCGGAGTAGTTTCAGATAGCGTTGATAGATAACAAAAAAAATAAGTGAAATCGATTATTAATGGCAACCTCGATAACTCTTATCTACCGTAGGGAAGGTACAGGTACTTGTCCAGAAATGATGTTTTAAGGGTAATGATTATGTATTTTTTTTTTAAATAAGAATTGTATCTTTTTTTCCACGCCCTATTACCGTTACTTTTAGTAATTTGATAATTATGGTAAAGCAAACATTTTCGTCTTTTAACAACTTTAAATTGCTATAAAAATGAAAAGTTATATTCTATGTATATACATAATAGCTACCTTCAAAGAAATATAATTTTTAAATAATTTAATAAAGACACTTTGCGTGAACTAATTTCGACTCTCTTTATTTAACTGTTATTTTGCAATCCGTAAAATTGTTACGGAAAATTATTAATATCTCGAATGGAACGTAAAAAGATCTGTCACAAAGAGTACAATAAATAAAAGTGATAACGATAATATAAATAAATTTTATCCAATAAGAGTATATCAACAGTATTTCGTAATAATCCCGTATTAAATTTATTTAAATTGAGCTTCATAGTCATGCGAAATCAGAATAATATTAACGAAATTATTTATTCATTTGCTAACTGGTGTACCACAAAATATATATATAATTGTAGTTTTAAGATCAATATCGTATTAAATTTGATATAACGTCATTGTACGCCGGACGTGAAAATGGAGCGAAGGTGGAAAAATATAATAATCGAGAAAAACGCTGACCTGTATTTTCATCGCACGCCATTCATTCCATTATCTATTCCTTTTCTATTTCTATATATACTCGCTATTCACTGATGGCACATGTGCAGAACGTAACGTGTTACGGAGATTACACCGAAAAGGGCGAAAAGTGAAAGACTCCCAGAACACTTTCGATATACGGCTTCAACCTGTGAGTTTCCTTAGCACCTAGCGTACATGAGATATCGTTATCACATGGCTAGATATGCGAAATGACGAGAATGCCGCGCGGTGAGAGATAACCCAGATTCTACCACGTAAAATTCCCTCGTGGACGGAAAACGCACGCCGTAGATGCCATTGCGGCATCTAGTATTAAAGACCCTATTATCAAAGTTTGACCATGAAGAATTTTATGAAAATCCTTCGTTTACAATTCCTTCTGTATATATAATGTTTTCCTGTACAATGTACATATACATATACTACTTACTCTAACTTATACTGTCTCACTCTATAATCTTAATTAAAATTATAGAGTGAAACTGTATAAGTTAGAGTGAGATAGTACATATATAGGAGAAAAATTATATATATATATCTTTCTCTCTCTCTCGTAGGATTCTAAAAAAATCGCTTGTGATTAGACTCTGTTACATCCGGAGAAAAGTTATGTTTAGATTGAAGAAATTGTTTCTTTCGTTGATTTTTTAAGTTGAAATGAAAATACCGAGGAAAAAATATCTGTGAGAAAAATAAAAATTTACTTAATTTCAAGAAATAATACCTAATAATAATAGCTTTATTGAGAGTACATAACAATATCAAATTACGTAAATAACATACAAAATAGTTAACAATCATATAAAGATAAATGACGTTCAAATCAAAGAAAAATTTATTTGATTTCAAGAAATAACGTTCAAATCAAAGGAACTATTCTTTAATCGTATAGTAATGCACAAATTCTTTTAATTCAAACAAATTTTTTTTTTAATCGAAGAAACTTTCCCTGGATCTGTGTATACTAGATGTACATAGAATGCAAAACGCAGGTCACAGGTCGCAAAATTAGACGCACATCATGTATTTCAGGTTGTAATAAACTGTAGGACGTAGAACGCAGGACGCACTGAAGTTAGAGGAACTTCAACTTTCGCGTCTTGCGTTCTGCCAGCGAAAATACGTCACGCGTTTTGCGTCCTATGTAAATCTGGCTTTATAGGGTCTCTACTCGGCATGACTGCGGCATGCCACGTACATTTATGACCTAGGTCCGGTACGACATTATCGCGTCGTTAAAAACGACGATGTCACGGCTGTACAACTACCGAAACAGTCGTTGTGCCGGCTAAATTTAAATGCACAAAGTCTGTCTCTCTCTCTCTCTCTTTCTCTCTCTCGTTCTCAGGGAGCAGTTGCATAATCCGAGGTGACACGAGTAACACATGCGGTACGGTGTCGTGGTGTACCAAAAGAACGCGAAACTGCGGAAGTAGAAGCGTAGCGCGTTACCTTCCACAACGGCCTAAGAGACCGCATGATTGCCGGCGCAGTTTTACAAGCGAGTACCCTTGGCTATACTACCTGCTTCAACCGCCGATCGATAACGCGATGCCACTCGGCTGTGAAAAAAAGTCGAGGCAACGAGTCCGTGCTATCGGTGCCCGCGAGTCGAGTAAAACAACAAACGGCGGTCGTCCCGAGTCCCCCTTCTTTTACCCGTGATCTGTGCAACCAATCGACGCGAATAGCGTGTAGAGAAAAGAACGCAATCTAGCTGATGGTTGTGTGAGCGTAATTATCAGCACGTCGCTAATAACGTGATATTTTTATACGAAAACCAATTGCTAATTTACTCGATAATGACAACATCAGCGGTGTTGATTTTACTTATCCATTAACCAATCAGAGGTGATTGATTTTTCATCATGAACAAGGTAGAAAATCGGTTAGTTAAAAATCTCTCTCGGAAAACCTGGCATTCAACCAAATGGTGCTATTCGACTTTACAAAAGTGCTTCATTCTAAAAGCGTGATTCATTCCGGAGATAAATAAATCGAAGTGCTCGATGCAGCAATGCTCCAATTTACTTGTTTGGAACTTGAGGATCAATTTTAAAGTTGCAAAAATCAGATATCCCACTAATTAAATTAAATCTCAACTCTCGCATTCATTTCCTAAAGTTGTGTAGAAAACTGGGTTAGATCAGCATAACTTCTACGCGCTAGTCCAGCTTCCTAAATTTCATGTAGGGGACGGTATTCATCTGAGATCTTATATTTAAGATTGTCTTAAGATGCCACAAGCTAATCAGAGCTATTAGTATCTTAAGATGATCTTGGTTTAAGATGATCTTGGAATAAAAACCGAAAGAACTATAAATACTAGGATACCGTTCAAAAATTTCACCCAGATGCGTTCAAGTATTATTTGATCCTTGTTTAATTCGATATTTTTACAAAACAAACAAGGATAAAGTGATATCTGAATACACCCGATTGGAGTTTCTGAACGCGACTCAGCTGTAAAACTTCAAGATTAGAAGATTAGAAGACTCACTTGCTGAAACGGTGGCAGCTGCAACAGATCCCTCTCCTCGGCGGCGGTTACCTCGAAGGTCGGTGCTGGTTGAGGTGGATATATGTTGCCCTTGCCGGGATACGACGTGCTCCGACGGAACTTGACCGGGCTGATACAGGAGGGATGCGCCGCTGCCGGGCCCGGATGGCCCGGGAACGTCGGACTTGGCTTGCGCCCCTGCAGACCGGCTGCGGCCGCAACCGCTGCGGCGGCGTGTAAAGACGAGTGCAGGGGTGGTATATTAGGTACGGATCTACCACGGTTCCAGGGAGACAGGCCCGGACTGGCGACTGCGGCAGCAGCGGCCGCTTGCGGGCCCGCGCCCCATTGTTGCGGGGCCTGCGGTCCGCCTGACCACGCGGCGTATCCCTTGCCGGGCAGATAGACGCTTGGGTGTGACGTCGGCGGAGGTTGTTGCTGCTGCTGTTGATGCTGCTGTTGTTGTTGTTGCTGCTGTTGCTGCTGCTGCTGCTGCTGCGCGGACGACACCTGCAGACCGCCGTGTCTGGTGCCGGTGGGCGCACCCGCGTTACCGTGCTGCTGTTGTTGCTGCTGCGGAAAATTGTGACTAGCCGTGATGGCACGTCGTGTGCCGGTCGAAACCGCGGCGGCGGCACCGGTGCTGGCGAAAAGCCCCGCGGGTCCACCGGCTGGGAAATTCTGAAAGGCAGCGATCGAACCATTGACTGGTAACGCGGTGTGCAGACCGCCGTCATCGGGCGCGGACCAGAGGCTAGGTACACGGCCACCGGGATCAGCGAAGCCCTGCAAAGCTGATGTCGTGCTGCATGTGATGTCTTTCTCTGTCGACGAGGGCGTCGTCGGGGTAATGGCGATGTTCTCCGCCTCGATCACGTCCTTCGATTTGTCCTGTCCAGCCACGGTGTCGAGACCACCGCTCGGCGAGAGCGGAGCGGGCTTGCCGGTAGTTTGCTTCTCGATCAGTAGATCGTCCTGCATCGTGGATGTCGTTATGGTGACGGCGGCGCTGCTGATGTTGCTTGTGGTCGTACTAGGTTTCGGGCTGGTCAGGGTACTCGAGAAGAGGCTCGTCGCGCTGTAATCCCCCATAAATCACCGCGGAGCTTGCGATCGCCGAGCGTCTTCGCGACGTTGACGACTGTCGCGATAACCAGCACCCACCAGCTAGGCCCCTTTGGAAACTTGCTCCTCGTCTCCCACGGGCCTCGTTACTCGCGGCTCAAGGATGTCGTTGTTGTCGAACGAAAGAGGACCGCTCGCGATCGCGTCCTCTACGTAGGGTAACTCGCCGTCGTAACTCGCAACTCCCGTTCAGCACGAGCGTGCGAGACAAACTATCGATCCACGGCCGCACGCGTAAAAACACCCACGGAGAGGAGCTTCAGAAATCGAAAGACTTTTGTGATCCTCCTTGTCACGTTGATAACTTCCTCCTCGTTCTGTCTTTCGCTCTTCGCTATCTTCCTTGCGCTGTTCTCTCTTTCTCTCTCTAACTTTTACTCTTTTTCTTCTTTGGTTTCCCACCTTCTATATCGTGCCTCGATCTATTTTTCTCGGACTCAAGGCATGTGTATAATCTCGTTCTCGTTTCTCCCTCGTCCTCCGATTGCTCCACTCGCTCTCCTCAGGAAACGTTTCTCTAGATCCCACTGACGCCGTGTCGCCCCGGTACGATTCGGCAGCGACCCTGTCTCCGTGGCATCCTCTTGGTTGTCGGGGAGCCAAGCTCACTCGGCGACGCGCGTTGTCATTGTCGTCGCGACGCTTCTACGCGAAGCGCTGCTCGTTGCGAAACTGCCTCCTTCCTAGCTTCCTCCTGCCTCCCCCTCGTTCGATCGCTCCCTCGCTCGCTCGCTCGCTCGCTCGCTCGCCCCGAATACCACTCTCGTTTGTCGTGTGCGCGTCTCGTTCGCGGGCTATCCCCTGGCGAACATAATTTCGATCCACTCGGCGGGGATACACACTGCTGGACCACTTGGAATCCTCCCAAATACGCAGCGCAGCGCGCGCGACCTTTTGCTTGCCACTATCACACACACGCGACTACGGATACGAGGTCGCTCCGCGGATCGTATCGCGGAGGTGGAAGTGGAGGCGGAGGCGGAGGCGTTGGAGGACGGGAGGGAAGAGGGCGGGAGGGAAGAACGTGTATATAGCGTATACGCGATACGTTTCACCACCCCGTTTCACGGCCCGACGAAGCGAAACCTATTCACGTCCCTCGCGTGGCGATCGCCAGCGACTCCGCGACTCCGGCTGTCACCCTCGACTCGGAGCTTTCCCCCGGGCGGCGCGGCGGGGCGGCGCGGGCGAGCGAAGAAAGGTGGCTGATTTCGAGGATGACGATTCGAGAGAGGGTTCGCCCTCGCGAAGCTGACAATCGTCGTGCGCTACTCCCTCGACGACGTGTCGCCGTCGCCGATCGCCGCCGATTGTCCCACGTATCCCGCGTATCCGCGTCGCGGCGAATCGTCTGTCGCACGCGCGCGATCGATCGATCACCGATAAGCTCCGTTTTACGTACGCGAGGTACGCTGACGCTCGGCACGGACGGGGCTCGTCGATGTGGTTTATTGCACACGCGCGCGCACACCGTGAGCCTCGCGTGGACACTGTGACGAATGTGACGAAACGCGGACTACGCGGAGCGCGCGACGAGCCCGCGCCCGAGAG